AATAACTATTTTAGGAAGTTATTTTGATGTTTAAAATAATGGGGGAGGGAAGATGCATTAAAAATAATATGCTAATTTTTTGTATATAATCTTATTCCATACACCTAGTCAACCGAGTAGTAAATTACTGATTTTTTTTTTATGCTGGATATGCTATGCTTGTTTAAAATATCTCCTGCTCTACATAGTAGTAACTTAAGATGCTAAGAAATCAAACCAAGAAAGAATAATGTTTAATAATAATGAGCTCAGGGAATGGGTAAACAAAGATATCACTAAGAGTAGAAAGTTATGACTACTCTAAAACACTTTTTGACCCAAGGAATCCTAGCCATTTGAAGCATATTCTCTACTGCTCTCACACCCGAACATATCTGAAAATCATTTAACTCAAAAAAAGAGACAAATTAGTTATGAGACTCACAGACTTCTATAGGACACATAGTGTTACAAGTTCACAGTGTTTCTCCCTCAATATATATAATTTTGGAAGGTTGTTAAAAATGTGACAATACCACCATCTTGGAAAAAGTGGCAATGGCATAGTCTAGCTGAAAGGTGAGAAACTGACCTGATTGATGGAGTTGGCAGCACAGGATGCGAGGCCTGTCCCAACAGAAGTAAGCAGGAAACAGGGCCAGTCGAAAGGTCCTGGAGCCAATGCAAATCCAGCTGAAGTGGTACTTACAACTAGAGCTGCAATATAGAAACAAAGCAGACGAATCATTACCAGTAAGATTCTCAACTGTAAAAGCCAAAAGACAAAGAACAAGTCATCTTTTATATAAGTCAATCAATCATATTAATAACATAAACTATAGGCTAATCTTTTGCTTTAAAAAATCGACATTTTTCTGATGATAAAAATTATACATGTTAATTACAGAAAAATGTTAATTTTCTTTTAATGCCATACTCGAGTAAAAAATAAGGTAGGTCATCCAGATTCAATTATTCACATATTCATTCAATGAACATTTACTGAATACCAAATCCATAGTCAGTATGTATTGTCAGGAATAAAGTTGTACAAGGTCTCATTCTTGCTCTTGGGCAATTTGACAGGGAAACAGGGGCCTCAATTCTGCGACAAACTCCAGATAAGTCTATAAGATGGTCCTGGGGGACAGAGATGAGTAGAAGGAGATGATAATCCTACAGCTACCAACAGGAATCCAGGGAAGAGGCAAGATTGCAGAAGCAAAGCCAGGCAAGTCAAGCATCCACCAAAGCTGCTCCTTTTTTGGTAGGTCCTGGTGCTTATTTTCTGGAGTTTATAGAAGCTGAAAGGGCTGAAAACTGTCTAAGAGTGATGCCAATACAGAGCTGTAGAAAATCACTGGAAAAAGAATCAACATTGGTGGGCTAATCTAGCAAAGCATCAAGAAGATAGCATTTTAAGTTGGATCTTCAAGAGGGGATGCAGAGAAGGGAAAGGAATGGTGGGGTAAGCTACACCACAGGTAATGGATAATTCCAAGAACAGGAACAATGGAACAAGGGCACAAAGACCCATGTCAGGAGTCTAACGCGTGTGTGACACCATCTACCTAGATTCTCAAACCAAAAACCTAGGAAGCATTTTTAATTATCTCCTTTCTCACTCTCTATATTCCATTCACTGCAAAGTACTAACTGTTCTACCTCTACAGAGTATTTCAAACCTATCTCAGTACTACCATCTAGTTCAGTGGTTCTTAACCAGGAGTGGTTTTGCCCCTCAGGGGACATTTACTAATGTCTGGAAACATTTTTGGTTGCCAGAACTGGAAGGGAAGAGATCTATCCGTGTTCTAGCGGGAAGAGGTTGGGGATGCTTCTTAACAACCTACAGTGCATAGGACAGCACCCCACAACAAAAAATTTTCAGGCCTAAAATGTCACTAGTGCCAAGATTGAATAATTCTGAACCAGTCCAAGCAATTACTGTAAGAGTCTCCTTTGTAACTAGTATCATTGCTTCCACCTTGCTTCTCTCCAGAGTGATATCTTTAAAATGTGAACAGATCATATCACTTTGCTGCTTTGAAAATTTGGAGAAAATGTTAACTCTCCCTTGCCAACAAGTGTACCCCACTCTTCTCTTGAACTCATTCACTATTCACCAATCATGAGGGACTTCTGCTCTTTGAGCATATCAAGCACTTTCTTGCCCCAGGGTCCCTGTATTTTTGTTTCCTCTGTCCATTTCCATGGCTGGTTCCTTCTCATCCTTCAGATTTCTTCTTAGGGAGAACCTTCCTGATTATCTCATCTAAAGTAGGCCTCCCCAGTTACTCCCTCACATCACCTTTTTATTTCCTCTATGGCACTGATCATTCTGGCTCCTCATGAAAGGTAAGTCTATGAGGCAGGAGCCCTGTCTGTGTCATCCATTGCTATATTTTCAAAGCCACCACTGTGCCAGGCATAGAGTAGGGATGGTGGCTGCCAGATTGCAGAATATCAAGCTGAGAAGCTTACAGTTTGCTTAGTTGGCAGTAAAGAGTCACTGAATGAGATCTATAATTGGAAGTTTAGCCTGATAACAAGATGCACCATAATTTATAGACAGGGACAGAGAGTTCTGCAGAGAAACATTTTAAGACGGTATACCAGTAATCCACTGTGAATAAGGGTAGTAAAAGTGGGAACTGAAGAGTTATAAGGTATATTTTAGTAAGAGAATTGTTAGGACCCGGTAACTATGAAAGGCAGGAAGACAAAATAAAACAACAACAGAGAATGAAAGGTAAAGTGTTGCACTTGGGTGACATAGAGAGGAATTATACCATTAACAGACATAAGGAAATTGGGAAAAGAGGTGATGGAGATAGCCAACCTTAGGAAAACTTGCTGTTTCTGAGGAACCATGGGACGATGTCTAGGTAGAAATATAGAGAAAGTAGATGAAAATAAAGCTCAGGAGAGAGACTTGGGAGACAGGAGAGGAAAAAGCTCTGCAATCAGCTGCCTAGAGACCAGGGCTGAACCTGAGGGAATGGATGAGATCCTCAGTGGGCAGCACGTGCTGTGGAAAGAAGAGTATGAGACAAGTCAGATCTTTACAGATGGCGGCGGGGAATGAAAGACAGACAATATTTGGAGACAAGCACCACAAGCACCATTAGGATGAGGTGGCATGGTTGTCCAATAACCATTAGGATGAGGTGGCATGGTTGTCCAATGTGAGGGGCCACAGGAAGCATGTTAGGAAGGCATTGCTACTGACATCAGCACATACATACCAGAGAAAATGACAGTTCCTCTTAATGATCACAAGTCAGTTGGCATGTCTTTCAATCCAGTCTTTTTTTTTCTGTTTAAAATTTTTTATTTTAAAGATGTGGGGTACAATTCAGGGTTAGGTATACAAATGTTCATTATGCAGGTACCCTTTTTGATGAGGTGTGCTTCCTCCCTCCTCTGGTAGATTCCTACTACTGCCAATCCCGCCCCACCCCCTTGGCAGTTTCCCACTACTGTCAATCCTTTTATTATGTATTAAGCTAACTGTCCAAGGTCTGCTTATGAGTGAGAACATGTAATATCAGTTCTTTGTTTCTGTGATAGATCATTCAGTATTATAGACTCTAAGTTCATCCAAGATGCTGTGAAATTCATAATGTTGTCCTTTTGTATGGCTGCATAATATTCCATTGTGTATATGTACCACAACTTTTTTATCCAGCCCTTTTATGATGGGCCACACGGTTGGTTCCATGTTTTTGCTATTGTGAACAATGCTGCAATAAATATATGTGTGCAGTTATGTTTTTCATAGAGTGATTTGAATTCGTCCCGGAATATTCCCAGTAGGGGTATTGCAGGGTCATGCAGAAGGTCGATTTTTAGATCTTTTAGGAATTGCCAAACTGTTTTCCACAGAGGTTGTACTAGTTGACACTCCCACCAACAGTGTAGAAGTGTTCCCTTTTCCCTGTATCCTCTTCAGCATCTGTTATTTTTTGAGTTATTGATGGTGGCCATCCTGACTGAAGTTAGGTGGTATCTCAGTGAGGTTTTAATTTGCATTTCTTTGATGACTAGTGAGTATCTGTTGGCTGCTTGTATGTCTTCTTTTAGAAGTGCCTATTCATATCTTTTGCCCACTTTGTAATGGGGCTGTTTTTTTCTTTTCAGCATAATTGAGTTCCTTGTAGATCCTACATGTTAGGCCTTTGTCAGACATAAAGTTGGCAAATATTTTTTCCCAGTCTGTGGGCTGTCTCCCTGCTCTCTTGATGGTTTCTTTGGCTTTGCAGAAGAGCTTGTCAGTTTGATAAGGTTCCACTTAACTATCTTATCTCTTACGGCATGGGCACTTGGTTTTTGATCAGGAATTGGATGCCAGCTCCAATTTCCATAAGGGTGCCTCCTGCATTTTCTAAGGTTCTTATAGTTTGAGGTTTTACATATAGGTCTTTGATCCCTTTAGAGTTGATTTTGTGTATCAGGGCAGGTTGGGGTCTTGTTTTAATTTTCTGTATGTGGTCAGCCAGTTTCCCAAGCACCATTTACTAAATAGGTTCTCCTCTCCCCAGTGGTTGGTAGTAGTGGAGGTTTTGTCGAAGATGAGTTGATTGAGAAATTGAGGTTTTGCTTCGGCAATCTCTATCTTGTTCCATTGGTCTATATGCCTGTTCTTGTATCAGTACCAGGCTGTTTTGATTATCGTAGTTTTATAATAAAGTTTAAAGTCCGGAAATGTGATACCTTCCACTTTGTTTTTGTTTTTCGTTTTTTTTGCTGAGGATTGTTTTGGTTATTTGTGGTCATTTATGTTTCTTTATTAATTTCTATATTGTTGTTTCCAGGTCTGAGAAGAATGCTGCTGGTAATTTAATGGGCATTGCGTTAAATCTGTAGATTGCTTTAGGTAGGATGGACATCTTAACGATGTTGATTCTTCCAATTCATGAGCATGGAATATTTTTCTGTTTGTTTGTGTCATCTTTGATTTCTTTGAGCAGTGTTTTGTAGTTTTTGTTGTAAAGGTCTTTGACTTCTCTGGTTAGGAAGATGCCAAGGTCTTTTTTTTTTTTTTTGTGGCTACTGTGATTGGGATTGTGCTTTTTATTTGGGTTTCTGTTTATTTTTGGTATATAGGAATGCAACTGTCTTTTGTGCATTTATTTTATATCCAGAGATTTTGCCAAAGTCCTTTATCAGTGCAAGGAGGTTTTTGACAGATTCTCTTGGATTTTCAAGGTACAGAATCATGTTGTCTGCAAAGAGGGATAACTTGACTTTCTCTTTTCCTATCCTTCTCTTCTTTTGTCTGATTGCTCTAGCTAGGACTTCCAAAACTATGTTGAAAAAGAGGGGTGAGAGTGGGCATCCTTGTCCTGTTTTGGTTTTCAGGGGAAATGGTTCCAATCTCTGTCTGTTTAGTAGTATGTGGGATGTGAGTTTCTTGTAGATAGCTCTTACTATTTTGAGGTATGTTCCATCTATGCCTAGATGTTCGAGGGTTTTTTTTTAATCAAAAAAGAGTGCTGGATTTTATCAAAAGCTTTTTCCGTGTCTAATGATATAATCATGTGGTCTTTGCTTTTACATCTGTTGATGTATTTCAGCAACTTTTGAGATTCTTTATAGCTCTACCATATGGAAAAGCCCCTTACCTGATATCTAGATGGGACACAGGTTTCTTGATATTGCTACATTTCTTTGGTTCGGTTCAATGGTCATTTGCAAAGTGACATAATTGTATG